TAGATATAAATAGATATATTAGATATAAATAGATATATTAAATAGATATGTTAGATATAAATAGATATAATTTATGTACATAGCTATAGATATACATGAAGGGAAGGAATACTAAAAAACCTCCATCCTTCACCAACAAGCAGGGGCTGGGACACCCTGAGAAGTGACAGAAAATCAACCTATGGATGTAGTTCTCTCCCTCTCTCCTCCTCATGGTGTCCCCTGTCCAGGAGGACTCCCCAGCTGGGTTCAGGACTGGCTGAGGCACAGGTGACACATCCTGGCAGGCCAGGTGAGGCTTTGGGGAACTTTCGGTGTTTTATTGCCAAATCTGAGCATTGAACTGATTGTGCTGCACAAATTGTCTGCTTTGGGAGAGAACTGCTACAAGGACTTGGTCCTTTGGCTGCCCAGTGCAGAACAGAAGCCACCAGGGGAGCACAGACACACCCCGGGAGCATTTTTGGGGTTAAAGGCAGGAAGGAAGCACTGGGGAAAGCAGCAGAGAGGAAAGAAGAAAAGCACAGTGGTGGAAATAACAGTGCAGGCGTGGAAGATAAACCTCAACACTGGCAAAAACTGCTCTGGATGGTCCAGAGAGCTGTGATTCAGCGCTGAGGAAAACATCCAAGAGTTCTCAGCTGAAGAGAGGCCCAAGTTTCCCAGGCTACCCACAGGGCAGGGCTTTAATCACCCCTGCAGGAGCCCTGACTCACCTTAGGGCAGCACAGAAGCCACAGATGTGAGTCAGGGCTGATAGACAAAACCACAGACTTGGCAGCCCCGGGCATGTCAGTGTGCAGCCCCGGTGTTAACACTTTAATCACATCATATTCCACTTCTACTGTTTGGAAGCCACCAATAAAAGAAATATTATTTATGCAAAGCAGAGGAGATGGAGAGCCAGGCCCTGCCCTTGCAGAACCAGAACCTCTTTGATGACTCTGATTTATATTTATCTAAGTAAGACCAATTCTCTGACATCATTTCTTAACCATTTCTGGGTTTAACACCCAGAGTGTTTCTTGTCCTCATTTAGAAGGTGCAGTAGGCACCAGCAGCCATTTAGTTTCACCAAAGTGCTGCAGGATACAAAGACACATCCCATATCGTGGCTGACAGCTTCAGCACAAAGCCACACAGCTCTGCCAGGGCTCCTTGTTAACAATGTATTGTTCTAGTGACTCAGTGCACTGGAATGCTATCAGGTTTATTCATAGCTTTTCTGATAGAGATTTTAGATTAGACACACAAATCTCTGCTTTTTAGAATTAAAAAAAAAAAAAAAAAGAATAAAAGGTTATGGTTTGTTATCACATGGAGCATCAAAATTCCTGGTTTCTTTTCTATGGTTAAACATACAGAGAACTTCACAGCAAAAGGACAGGACCTCAGAAACCAAAGGTTCTTTCAATCTTCTAGTAAGAACACTTAAAAGGAGAAAAAAAAGACCAAAAATTGGAAATAGTGAATATAGTGAAGATGGTCAAAAACATGAAGCATCTCTGTAAGGACTATTGAATCAATTAGGACATTTTAGTTTGGAGAAGAGGCCCCTGACAGGGGACACAGCAGGGATTTACAGAATTTTATGCAACTGCAAATGACAATTCCCCAAACATGAACTTCTTACAGTACACGAGCTGGCAGCAGGTGCAGTTACCAAAAGGAAGTGGTTCACCACACAAAGTTAAATTTTGAAATGCCTGGACAGAGGCTGAAAGCACACAGGGGGTTCAACCAAGAGCTGAATAAACTGATGGGAGATAAGGCCATTCCTACTGGCATGGCTGGAGACAGGACAGACCCAGCCTCTCACAGCTCAGGTGATTTTTTTTTTTTTTTCCACATTCTGAGTTTTTTAAGAAGCAAACAAAAGTCCCCAGCATCTTTGAGGAGAACAGCAGCAAGAAGCAGGAATTCCACCCCTCACTTGCCAGGGTTCCTCAGAGAACTGCAGGAGGTGCAGGCAGCACAAACCCTCCCTGCCATACCCAAGTGCTCTCCCCCAGCCCTTCTTCACTGCAGCTGTGAGCAAAGTGACACGAGCCCCAGAGAAGCACAGGAAACACCAGAGCCACGCTCATGTTCATGTGGATGGTGCCACATCCTCACAGGAAGGGCCCTGCTACCAAACTCCTGCAGAACTTGGCTTTGCTGCCAAGCCAGGAAGCCTCAGGAGGTGTCTGAAGATGAGTCTCCTGAAAGTATTTTTAGATTGCAGGCCCAACCCAGTTATTTAGATATTTAGTGTCATGGAGAGAGTCTTGCATAAGAATGACTTGTTAAGGAGTCCCCTGAAACAGGTTATTTTCCCATTCTGCTCCATGGCAATCACAGACTGTTTCCAGCATCTCCTCTGCTCCAGCTCCCTGCCAAGAACAGCTTTTCCCTCAGCTATCTCCTACTGACCTAAATTCATACTCCTTGCTTTAATCACAGTCTTCCACCCTAAAAAATACTCCAAACCTGAAATCCTTCTCTCCTACATTCATTCCTTTAGCCACCAGGCCCACTAACCCAGAAGGGCTTCTGAAAGTCAATGCTGAACCTGCTGCACAGCACAGCAGTGCAATAAATGTTGCACAGGCCAAATGATGTCCTGGGGGAAGCCTGTGACACCCGTGGCCTTGTGCAGCGTGCACAGCTGTCAGCCTGAGACTTCCTTCTGCTTAAGATATGCAAAGAGAAGGAGAATTCGATGGTATTGAGTGACTGCAGCTCCCCAAGTCAGCAGATCTGGCTCAGAGCACACACAGGGATTAGAGCTGTCGATGAGCACCTTGGCACGGTGGCACCGTTGGTCAATACCGGCATCGTTTGTCCTTGACGTCACCCTGCTGCTACTCCCATTTTTGTTATTCACTGCTGAGTTTTTCACAGGAGTTCTGTTCCAGCTGAGGGGAGTCCCTGCTGTGTTTGGCAGGGCACAAAGATTTCCTGGATCCAGAACAAGAAATGCTGCAATACACAGGAACGGACACCTGAGTCCAGGATATCCTGCATGTACTGGTTGGATAGGGGAGAAATGAGGAAGCTACAAATAAGTTTTCCTCTCTTTCCCTTCTTTCCCAGAAGCACAGGAATTCTGTGCCCTGCTCCCTGGATCTATCCACACCAATCAGATGACACAATCCAGTTTCTGAATGCATTATTTCATCCTTGACTTTCGTTAACAAGCACTTTCAGTTTCAAGATTCATCATCCCACATTATCCCTAGGGAATCACCTGCTAGGGCTGTCACAATAAACTCAACTGCTGCAGCTCCCACACTCACCTGAATTTTACAGCCCATACTAGAGCATCCTCCTGGCTTCCAGACACCTGGACAATCAGGCAATTCCTTATTTCAGTCTGGCCACACCACTGCACCACGTGGGCCAAGACACTCCAATAAATGAGTATTTACTAGCTCAAGTATTTACTCCCTCACACTAGCGAGTTCTAAGATGTTTGCAGACACCTCATAAAGCACAGGCTCATTATTACAGCCCATTAACACGCATGCAAGACATTTTAATGTGTAAAAATTCCCCATGAAATAAGGATTTTCTCCTCCACTTTCAGGGCAAACCTGCCATCCTTACCATGAACTGGACAACGCTTTCCAGTGGTTTTTTTTTTTTTTTTTTCCCTGCTCTTTTCCACCCACCAGTCAAGCCAAGCCTCATTTGGCTGATTTCATAGCACTCCTTTATGAGTAACCCTGACATGTGCCATGGCAGGTCCCTCATCCACCCTCCTCACTCAGTTCCAACACCTCCAACAAGGCTGGAAGAGCTCTGGGGAGCATTTCCCTGCAGCACAAGAAGCCTCAGGTGACACCTGGAGACCTTTAGTGTCGATTCCCCACAGCCCTGAGCAGGCACCAGATGGAACTGCAGCAGTTCTCTCTGGTTTGCCACTACTGAAAGTGGGATGAGGACACAATTTACTACTTCAGATAAAAGGAGTTCCCAAAACAAGAGTTAAGCCAAGGAAGCTTGTACTTTTAGGAAAACAGTATCCAAGCATGCAGACTTAATGCTGTGTCCCAGTGGAGGCAATTTGAGGCTGAAATCAGGCACTACAGAAAGTTTTATTCCTGAAATATGAAGGTACTCACTGTACACAGTGATCAGCTGGCAAACTGGAATCTGTCCCTCTTCTGTAGTCAGCTCTCTACTCATCTGTCTGGAGCCTGTTAGAGAGGAAAAGGAGCTGTAAATATAAAGTGACCAAAATTTTTTTTATTTTTTTTTTAAATCAAGAAGTAGGCCAGGTAATCAATGCAAAACAGACAAGGTCATCTCCCCAGCTCTGAGGTCAAGAACTCAAAGCAGCTGCAAACCTCTCAACAAAATCTCTCAAGCAAATGCTGTGATGCTTGAAAACAACTACAGCACAGGCTGCCTCTGGAGGCTGGTGAGGTCAGAGCTGATCCAGCCCAGGAGAAAAGCAAGGTATTTATACATGAGAGCAGCAGCAACAGCTTCCCAAAGCCACTTACTCCGGGGACAGTGAGTCACAGCTCTTGGTGACACGTCCTGATCCCCAAAGCACCATTGCACACGCAGGGGAACAAATGTTTGTGCAGCCACGGTGCTGAAGGGTTACACGGGCTCTGATCTGGAATGCACCAAAGAAGTTCCCTTCAATACATTTGTTGTTTCAACACACTTTATCCCCTTAATGAGGAGCCACTGAAGTTCTGCTTAAACCCATTTTGATGAAGGAAAAGATTATCCATAGAATTGCCAGGCGTACATGTTGGTATACATCACACACAGACCAACTGTGCTTCAGGGAGACATTAAATCCCCGTTCAATTAATAGAGACACCTCTTAAAATGAGCATTAAATAATTCCCCACAATGTAGCAAGACAACTGGCTACTCGAGTAAATTGGAATAGAAATAACTTCCCACCTCTCCACCAAGAAAATCCCAATCAAAGCTTGCCCTTAAAACAAGAGGTCAGTACAGAGGGATGAGGGCAGGAATGTTACTACCTCAGTGCTATTGTGTGCTTATATTAAAAGCTCTTCATCAAAAAATTAAATTAAATGGATGCCTTTCATGTTTATCAATAACGGAGCTAATGGTTTTTATGTAAATGCCATTACTTTCAGCCAGATCTGCGAGAGACTGGAGCCACATAGCCCCATCTCCCCTTGCAAGAGACTCCCTTCAGGCAGCCAATCTAAATGCAAATTACAATCAAATGCAAAACCAAGAGTTTTCTGGATGATACTGAACACATAAAACTAGGGACAAAGCAGAGATATTTAAGAACAACGCTCCTCTTCTGGAAAGACCTCCTGATCTCACATTGATTTTCTATCCTGAACACACATAAAAATTAAAGTATCATTTTGTTCTTATTTACACTCATATTATTTACCAGCTTCTTCCATTCTACTGCCTTCAGTGTTAAAAAAGGAGGGGAATGTTCTTCTGGGAGACAATCACCTCTCAGAGATGTTTCCCCCCACAACAGGAGCATTCCATCAGCAAGGATATTAAATCAGAGAGCTGATAATAAAGCCCCAGTTGGATTTGCCAAGAACAAACTGCACTTCCACATTTTCAGGAGGAAATTTCTTCTTGGAATGGAGCTGTTTTGCAAATGAAGGAAGAAGGTGTTACTACAGGATGGTTATTAAGAGGCAGAGACACAAAACTCTTGTCAGCACAAGGAGCACCATGTTCCTGCAGCATAAAAAGCTTCTTGAAGAACTCTTAAATCCAACTCCTACCTGGAGCACAGATCCAACCAGGACTTTGTCAGCACTGATTAAAACAAGGTTCTAATGGCAAAGCTGAAAAGAACAAATCTTGGCAACTGTGCTGCTCAGCAAAGAGAATGCACAGAGGAGAAGCTGAGATTAAAACAAAAGGTAAAAAGGTGACAACCCAACTGTGGATGGCAGAGTCTGCACGTGAGTCCCAGTGGGGACTTGCTCTAACGACCACAGGCAGCTCCACACCAAACTTCCTTTCCCAAGAGGAGCACAAGTCCTGGGAGGGATGCTGCTAATTATCAATGGGGCTGAATCCACGCTCATTACACGGGTGAGGAGCTGAGCACTTTGTGTGTGCTGCAGGAATACTCACAGAGCAGAACCTCGCTAATTAACATTAATCACTGCGAGACCACTGCTGCAAACGGCTGGATTTTGGGAATCTCAGCCAGCAAAAAACCATGCAAAGTGGGAAACCAGAGGGACAACACAGCCCAGCAGGCGTCTGGTTTGTTTCTTTGGGTATCTGTAATTAAATAATTTATCATTGTGCTCCTGTGTCTACGAGTGAATGTGCAGCCTGTAAACAGAGCACCTCTTGTTATGCAAAGCCTTGTTAAATCTGAAAGTTTGACTGCCTGTGGAAAGAGGTCACCAAATGAAAAACCACAGCCCTGATTACCTTCCCTCAGAAACTTTTCTGGTGGGCCAGCATTTCAGAAAACTCATCCACTTCTTCTTCATCTGTTCAGTCTCACAGGGCTATATTGTTCTGTACACAAAACTTGTGCCTTTCAGTCCTGCAGTTGCTAGGGCTCCCTTCCTTCATAAAGCTGGTGAGGCAAGTTCTGGATCCTCTCTACCAAAAGGAGACTGGGACTCCAACTTGGGCTTTGTCACACTGACCATGCAGAACAACCCATGAGCAATGAGAAAAGGACGAGGCCCTTCCAAAACAAGCAAATCTCTTTTTTTCCGCCTTTTTTTTTTTTTTTCATGTCACTGCCAGAACCACTCATGATTTCACACCCAGCCACAGCCATGTGTGAGCAGAGTCTGATTTCACAGCCGTGCTCTGACTTCAGCTGTCAAACCACAGCCACAGCAGCAACGTGCCTGCAGAGCTGAGCTGCTCCTACAGCAAAGCCCCCAAAAATCACAGACAGCCACACATCCCCAGCCTCCACCCAAATGCTGCTGCTCAAGGCCTCGACCACTGGCTTAGCCAGCAAAATGAAGATTTTTTTTTTTGGTGGCAAAAAACTTCCAAGCATCACTTGAATTTTGTGATTTTGCAAAGGCAAGGAACAAAACTGGAAATATTTCCTTTCCTAACAGCACCTGTTCTTTGCTGTACAATTCACAGCTACACTAAACTTACTCAGCACTATAATTTTTATTTCTCCTTTCTGTCATCACACAGCCCATGACTTCACTTGCTAAAGCTCAGGGTTTTCCCTTTGCAAAGGTTCAGGTTTATGCACAGCAAAACGGTCTCTTAAACAGTCTTTTCTTATTTCCTTTTGTCAGAGGTTTCATGCTATGATGGATGTGTAGAAATGCAAAGCAGAAGTCCATACAAAAAGAAGCCAGTGTGTGAGGTGGTTTTGTCTTATAAAAAAAAAAAAAAAAGAGAGCCAGGATTGACTTAGGCCTCATTAAAGAGCTCCAGTCTGCATTTTTATTAGATATATTTAGATACCAAGGGCTTAAAAAAAATAAATTAAAAGCAGTTATATTCTTAACATATGGCCCTGGATCAGTCACGTGGATATAAATCAAAGTGGGCACAGCAGATTCTCCAAACATAGGCATGGAAATCATTTTAATGTTGCACATGACCTATAAAATTTCAAGCAACACCAAACTACACAATGGTGTGACAGAATTCAACAGGGCTGTGCCTTGTCCCCAGTCCTGGCATTATCACACATCCCTGTGCATATCACAGCTGCTCCAGGAGACAGGAAGAGGGAGGGGAGTAATTCCTGCTAATGAACACACTCAGGCAAATCGGGCAGCATTCATTTTTTGGTGGAGAAACTGAGGCATGGAAGAGGCATTTTTTGCAATAATTCATTTCCTATCATAAATAAAATCCAGACAATATCCCAGCCATCAGCTTCTTCACTACCAAGAGTCTTTGGCAACGCTGCTGTAGCCCAGTGTCATCCCCTCCTCACACCCTGGTCTCTATCCCACAAAACACACAGCTCCAAGAGAAAACTTATTTCCAAGAGCCAGTGGAGCTAATTCTGGCCTGCACAAAGCACTAATTACTAATGTAAATGATATCTCCCCAGCTTGATGGCAATGATAAATGATGGCCAACCATGTGGGCAGAGACTGGCACTGAACAAAACAACCAGACACACCCAGAGCAAGCATGTCTTGCAACCACAAAACACACATTTCTGTGCTCTACGTGGGCAGCAACTGCTGTCCAGAATATTTTAATAGCAGAAACTGCACTGGGGAAAAAAAACAAACCAAAAACACCACCACAACATAAAAAAAACCTGAGTACATTCCTCCTCTTAGTCGGAGCCAGAACATAAGAAACAAGCAATATAATTATTTCCACACCAGAAGGAAAATAAACCCAAGAACACACAGAGGGAAAGAAACAAACCTCCAAAGCAGATCTGCAAAATAGTTCAGGGCTTCTGTGCTGGGTTATAATTTCCCAGCACAAATCAGGAGAATAAAAACTAGAGGGAAGCTAACTTTGGGGTGATGAACACCTCGGAGCTCACAGCACTCCCTGCAGAGTGGGTGCCCAAAATCATCCTTCAGCCCATGACCACATTTCATTTTGCCTGAAATGACCCTTTCTGGTGTGGCCTCTGGTACAAGCAGAAAGAAAAACATTTTTAAATGTGAAAACAATTTTTTTATACATCAAGCACAAAGAGCATCAACCCTACCAGTGACTGCTGGTCCCACCTGTCCAGAGGTGCTCATCCACAAAAATTCCAATATCCCAAGATGATGCATCCAGCATGCCCAGCCCAGGTTCCCCAGCTGGGAGCCCAAAATCCTGAAAGCAAACGGGAGCAGAATCTCTGTGCTCCATGCAGATAGTGGAAGCACGGCTGGGACACACTCACTCTTCACGGATAAGTACAAGCACTTTAAAAAAGAGCTTTTTTTCCCTCCCTTCACTTTGTTTTAAATGGCTGAAGAATTTCCTCTGTGAATGCTCCCAATTGTGGCTCACGCTGAGTTATTTTTAAAAGCACAGAACCAGATTTTCAAGGCCCTGAATGAGGAAATGCAAAGCTTTTATTAAGCAATAATAGCCCAGACAATGGTCACAATTTCCCAAGGGTCTGAACACGGCAGCTGACAATGAGCTTTATTCCTCCACAAAACCCCCTTCACAGGCTCGAAGGGTTTGCTTTGTATGATCCAGGCTCAAGTTAGGGAGTTAAAACAGAAAGCTCTGTGGTCGTTTT